AGGGCTTTGATACCAATTTGTAACACCCATAAAATTCAAGCCAATTTAAAACATTTTAACCCATTCAAAAAAACCATTAAGTTATACAACTAGTTTTCAAAATAGTTTAAACATTAGAGTATTCCCAGGACCAAATCACAAAATCATGAATATGAGGAGCGGTACAATCACGCCTTTGCCTTGCCACGATCTCCTAATGTACCTGAAACAATAAACTGAAACTGTAAGCCCGAAATCTTAGTGAGTTTCCCCCAAAATACCAACCACATACAACCATAATCATATCATATCATATCACAATACAGAACAACCATGCCTCTCAAGTCTGGTCCGCCCTCAACAGGCCTTCAGTCCACCTGGTCCACTATGTGAGTCTATAGTATGACTGGAATGCCCGCACCGGGCCATTAATCTATCTGGATCTATCCCGAGCCTTCGGTATAACCAGACCGCCATACCGGCTTACAATCTATTCGGACCGCTCGTAGGGTATGTTGGCCTTCAGCACAAAACAGGACCGCCTCAACCCAAACATCAAGCAAATAACCATGTGCACATATAACCGGTAATCACATAACAGTCCATAGACAAACAAATCGATCTAGCAGATCATAAAGCATAGCAACATTCTAACCAGGATACCGACCTAACCGGCCACTAACATAGCATCATCTTATATACCAGGATACCGACCTAAAGCAGGTTACTAACATAATATTGTCCTAATTACCAGGACACCAATCTAAACAGATCAATAAGCACATCAAACAGCACACGTATAGATATAAGATATAACTATCTCACAGATCATCAATCATAGTAATCTCTCATAACCAAAACACCAACCTAACCAGGTCACTAACATACCAATCCTAACGGATCATAAGAGCATGACAACATACTGACTATCTGGATACCGATCTAACATATCATAACCACATGTAGCATACATTCACCATGATAACAACTAAAAGGGTTGGCCTTGGTGCCTTAGACCCTATTGATATAGTGAGGATAACTCACCTTGCAACTGCCGAACCGAATCACGAGAGCACAATCCCGAAGCACAACCTCAAACTCCAACACCTATATCCATCAATAACCATTAACATAAATATCCAAATTACCATAATACCCCTGAAGGTCAAAGTCAAGTCACCCCATGACTCATCGAGTTCAATAATCTCTGAGTCTCATCCTGACCAACTTGTTGAATCGCCACCCAAATCACTGCTCTGAGTCTTAACCAGAAAAGGTTGAAGGTTGTGCTTGTGACTCGCCGAGTCCAAGAACAGACTCGCCGAGTCCACGACAATCTTCATCACACTCGTCGAGTTATTCTTCAACTCATCGAGTCCAAGCTCATCATCATACGACTCGCTAAGTCACCTATGTGACTCGCTGGGTTACTACGCGACTCAAGCCTAAAACCCTAGCCCAACTCGCCGAGTCATCTCCCAGACTCGCCGAGTTCATACGTGCATGTCGAAAATCGAGAGATTCATAGCTACTCCTTTTTTCCAAACAATAGTTTTGGGTCTCTAGAGTCCATTAGCAACATAAAGTTGCTACCTTTACGTGCTTCATGCCCCATTACTCCAAAACCCAAGCTAGAAAGGAACTTAACTCATGGGGAATGGCTTTTGCATAACAACTAGAAAGTCTTTCTGCATCAATGATCCACATAGAACTCAGATCTGGAGTTTCAACTCAAGATCTAACTCATGCACCAAGATCTCATCAATATTTCTCCAACCAAACCCTAAAACTCCATGAAAATGGAACTAGAAAGGAAAAGGCCAATGATAACGATTCCTTACCTCCAAAATGACCTCTCACTAAAGTATAATACGGATCTCTTCAAGTCTCCTGAATGCAAGCTTCTTGATCTTCAATATCCCTTTACAAATCACACCAATTTGCTTCCAAGGCTTCTCACAAATGAAATTAGGGTTTCTGGATCTCAAAGGGGGCTAAGGGGGCTGAGGGGAGGACATTAAGTCCTTTAAATAGGGTGCAAACCCGAAAATTAGGGCTTTTCCTCATCCAGCACTGACTCGACGAGTCTAGCCGCCGACTTGGCGAGTTAGGCCACTTAATCACGTGCCCGACACTCGCTTCGACTCGATGAGTCAAGAGACCTACTCGCTGAGTCCCTTCCTTTATTTTCATATAGCACCCTTCAACTTCTTGCTTCTGAACTTGGGATGTTACAGAAAGAGCACTCCTACAAGTTGATGTTAGTTCATCGGTTTTCATTGGAGATTCTAGACCAGCAATCGATTTCAAGTTGGAAGGTATGGTCTCGATTTTACTTAAATGTTGCTGTGAAGATAAAGGTTGATGATGAAGGCTATGTCGATGGTGGTTTCCTAGTTACGAAGGGTAAAGTGTATGATTAGGGCTTCCTTTATCTTTTATTTATTCAAAATCGATTCATTGATATATCACCTTTATTCGATTTTTTGAGTTGCAAATCCATCTCTTTCACTTTAAATCC